CAGCAGGCAGACGTGTCGCAGGGCGTAGGTCACGATCACGAGGAACGTGGACAACACCACCAGGAGCTCCAGATTCCGGAGCCTCGGCCCCGGCAGCAGCAGCGCCGAAAGCGGCCGCGCCAAACGCCCCGCGACGTGGCGCCTCCGGGGGCGCCGCACCAGCAGGGAGCTCTGGCGCAGGGCGTAAAGGACGATCGCGAGGATCGTGAAGATCACCAGGAGATCCACGATCCGGAGCCGCGGCCACGGCCGCGACAGCAGCACCGCCAGAAGCGGCAACCGCACGCGCCACCTTCCCGGGCGCCTCCGGGGGCGCAGCACCAGCAGGCAACCATGGCGCAGGGCGTAGAGCGCTATCACGAGGAGCGTGAACAACACCAGGAGCCCCAGCGTCCGGAGCCTCGTCCACCGGAGGTGCAGCCGGCGGAGGTGTAGCCGGCGGCGATGGCACGCTTTTCTCCACAAATGTCGGAGGAGCACGCGCTGGCGGAGGGCCTCGCGGTCTCGGACCAGCAACACTAGCACCTACAAGACCCGTAGCACGATCATGAGGTACGCAAGGATGAGCGGGTTGGACAAGAATGCGTCGACGGGTATGGCCACCGCAAGCGAACGCCAGCGCGGCCACGTCGCCCATCCGGACACGGCGGCCGACTCGGGCCGCGTAGCCGAGCCTTCACACGGAGGCGCGAAGGGGCGGCCTCGGCAGACTGCCACCACAGCGCCGGCGGGCCACATCTCGTCGCGCGCGGTCGTCCTCGGATCCGGGCCAAGACGGGTCGACGCGCATGGCAGCTGTCCCGGGAGGTGGTGGGGGCCAAAAACAGCGCCCTTTGTGCTGGCAAAGGCCCTTGACCCGGGACGGCGGCTGGAGGAGGAGGAGGAGGAGGGAGGGAGGGAGGGAGGGAAGGAGGGAGAGGAAGAGGAAGAGGAGGAGGAGGAGGAGGAGGAGGAGGAGGAGGAGGAGGAGGACGGGTCGCCCAAGACCTTCGGAGAGACCCTCCAGGGCCACATCGCCCGAGACCTGGCCCGCAAGCTGCGGCGCCGGGGCCTCGGGGCACCACCACCGGCGGGCCCCCGCGGGCCGGCCGTGCCACGCCCCGCCTCCCCGCGGAGGGCCCGCGCTGCCGGCAAGAGCGCCCGCGCCAGCCCGGAGGCCCAAGCGCCCAGCGCTGTGCGGCGGCGAGGGCGAGGGCGAGGGCGAGGGCGAGGGCGACGACGACGACGACGACGACGACGACGACGACGACGACGAGAGGCCGCAGGGATCGCCACCGCCCGAGGCCCAGCGCGGCGGCAAGGAGGCGGCCGAGAGGCAGTGCGCCGGCGCGAGGCGAAGGGCTCAGGGTCGAAACTCCAAGATCTCCGACGAGATGGCTTATCCCAACTGGTATTTCGCTGCAGGGCTCTCATAGGTATCGTTTTTTGTATTCGGCGTTTCGACATTGGGCGAAGAGGGGGGGAGGGGGGGGGTCTGGAACTGGACCTCTGCTTGGTGCGACTGTTCGGGACCGTGCGTCCTTTGGAAGAATCTCCACCTGCTCGAAACAGCGCCAAAAACAGGCAAGATCTACTCCACAGGGAGGAGGGAGGGGGGGATGCGAGGGCCCGCGCCGATCGGCAAAAGAATGAATAAAAAAACGCTCGCATGGCTTATCCCAAATAGTGTTTCGCTGCAGGGCTCACATAGCGGACCAATGAATCATCGGAGAGTCTCACAATGGGGATGGGAAGCCCGAGGACGCCCCATCCGGCAGCCGCTTCGCCTCACAGTGTATTCAGGAGTCGTGCTATCGCAGCAATGTTGGCGGAATACATGTTTGGTCCGGACGGCCACGAGCCCTTGTAAAAAATACACTTAGGTGCAAATGGCCTCACTAAATGAGCGTTTTCACTCGCCGACCTACTCCTGGACCCGCCTCTTCACCTGTTCTGCTATTAGGATTCGTTGCTGGAGTTATTTGTTCAATCCTGGCGTTTCTCCTCGAGTTCGGATTCTGGGGCCGCTATTGGGCCCCAGGACCATCAAAAACGGATCCAGACGGAAAACTGTCACCTGGGAATGGGTCGGGAGGTTTGGAGACGTGAATTGAAAAACATATCGGCGGAGGTCTGGGCTCAGTCAGCCCAACAGACGCTGGCCGGTGGCAATCCCCAGGTGGTGTTCATGCGATCGCCCCGAGCCATGCTGGCAGAAACCTCGCCGTCAGCCACTGGTTGCGGCTTTTGGACGGAAGATAACAATTAGCCTGACGAAAGACCCAACCATACGTAGTTGTGAATACCGCAATTGTGGATATATTCTTCGGTGGCGCCCCCGGGCCACGAAACGAGTGAGGGGTGTGCCGAAATGGGGGGGTGGAACCGCATGCGAGCGCAGCCACTGGGGCGCTCGGTGGAGCTCCCTATGGAGCCACGAAACGTGTGAGGGGTGTGCCAGAATGGGGGGTGGAACCGCATGCGGGCGCAGCCACTGGGGCCTTCGGTGGAGCTCCCTATGGGGCCACGAAACGTGTGAGGGGTGTGCCAGAATGGGGGGTGGAACCGCATGCGGGCGCAGCCACTGGGGCCTTCGGTGGAGCTCCCTATGGGGCCACGAAACGTGTGAGGGGTGTGCCAGAATGGGGGGTGGAACCGCATGCGGGCGCAGCCACTGGGGCCTTCGGTGGAGCTCCCTATGGGGCCACGAAACGTGTGAGGGGTGTGCCAGATGGGGGGTGGAACCGCATGCGGGCGCAGCCACTGGGGCCTTCGGTGGAGCTCCCTATGGGGCCACGAAACGTGTGAGGGGTGTGCCAGAATGGGGGGTGGAACCGCATGCGGGCGCAGCCACTGGGGCCTTCGGTGGAGCTCCCTATGGGGCCACGAAACGTGTGAGGGGTGTGCCAGAATGGGGGGTGGAACCGCATGCGGGCGCAGCCACTGGGGCCTTCGGTGGAGCTCCCTATGGGGCCACGAAACGTGTGAGGGGTGTGCCAGAATGGGGGGTGGAACCGCATGCGGGCGCAGCCACTGGGGCCTTCGGTGGAGCTCCCTATGGGGCCACGAAACGTGTGAGGGGTGTGCCAGAATGGGGGGTGGAACCGCATGCGGGCGCAGCCACTGGGGCCTTCGGTGGAGCTCCCTATGGGGCCACGAAACGTGTGAGGGGTGTGCCAGAATGGGGGTGGAACCGCATGCGGGCGCAGCCACTGGGGCCTTCGGTGGAGCTCCCTATGGGGCCACGAAACGTGTGAGGGGTGTGCCAGAATGGGGGGTGGAACCGCATGCGGGCGCAGCCACTGGGGCCTTCGGTGGAGCTCCCTATGGGGCCACGAAACGTGTGAGGGGTGTGCCAGAATGGGGGGTGGAACCGCATGCGGGCGCAGCCACTGGGGCCTTCGGTGGAGCTCCCTATGGGGCCACGAAACGTGTGAGGGGTGTGCCAGAATGGGGGTGGAACCGCATGCGGGCGCAGCCACTGGGGCCTTCGGTGGAGCTCCCTATGGGGCCACGAAACGTGTGAGGGGTGTGCCAGAATGGGGGGTGGAACCGCATGCGGGCGCAGCCACTGGGGCCTTCGGTGGAGCTCCCTATGGGGCCACGAAACGTGTGAGGGGTGTGCCAGAATGGGGGGTGGAACCGCATGCGGGCGCAGCCACTGGGGCCTTCGGTGGAGCTCCCTATGGGGCCACGAAACGTGTGAGGGGTGTGCCAGAATGGGGGGTGGAACCGCATGCGGGCGCAGCCACTGGGGCCTTCGGTGGAGCTCCCTATGGGGCCACGAAACGTGTGAGGGGTGTGCCAGAATGGGGGGTGGAACCGCATGCGGGCGCAGCCACTGGGGCCTTCGGTGGAGCTCCCTATGGGGCCACGAAACGTGTGAGGGGTGTGCCAGAATGGGGGGTGGAACCGCATGCGGGCGCAGCCACTGGGGCCTTCGGTGGAGCTCCCTATGGGGCCACGAAACGTGTGAGGGGTGTGCCAGAATGGGGGGTGGAACCGCATGCGGGCGCAGCCACTGGGGCCTTCGGTGGAGCTCCCTATGGGGCCACGAAACGTGTGAGGGGTGTGCCAGAAGGGAGGGGGAGGAGGGAGGAGGAAGGAGGGGAGGAGGAGAGGAGGAGGAGAACGCGGGGCGACGTCTCTTCAAAACGAGGACCCAACACCACAGGATGGTTGGGAAAAAAGCGTCCCCAGACCGTTTTCTTGACTACTTTTGAATATTCCTCCTGTAGAGGGGCGTGCCCGACTTAACCCCAATCTTACAGCGCCCCCAGAGGATGCGCGGCACAGGCCTCTTCCAGGGGGCCCGCCTTCCCTGCCTTCGTGGGAGGCTGCCCCCCCTTCTTCGGGGAGGAGCTCGAGGTATACACCAGCTCGCATGATCGGCCAAGGAGCTCGGTGCATACAGTGGGGGCCCGACCACAAAAAACCTTCCACAAGAAACCCAACCCTGAGACCCCAGGACGCCCATGGATTTTTGGTGTGGGAACGTCACGCTCTCCATCGCAAAACCATCGGAATCCAAGAAACCCAGGGCACCCTGGAGGCAAGCAGGGTGTTTGTCGGCATGGGCCCCCAATGTAGACGCCCCTGTTTCCAAGCCTTTGGGACGCTTGGGCATCAAATCACGGGATTCCGTCGCCGCCTTCATTGGCTCCTTGACCGAGCAAACAATGTGGCGTATACCCAGACATCCGACGTCTCGATGTTTGTTCGAAGCACGGGCCCCCGACCTCTCGACCACTTCCCCAAGACCTGTTTTCATCCCGGGTCGCTTCTGGACGGTCTCGATCGAGGCCCAACGGCAACGGCCCCGAGAAACCGAAAATGATAGAAAGCCTCTCTCTCTCACACAACTTTTATCGAGACGCAGGATGTCTGGGTACACATCGAACCCTTCCGACCCTCACCCTCGACCCTTCTTCCCAACGCCGAAATACGCTCGGGCGCGGCGCTTCTCGGACGGAATGCCTCTGCTCTGGCGCCCCGGCCTGCGCGGAGTGTCGGGCCGTCTCCTGGTGAACTCGGACATCGTGTCCAAGGACTCAGTCTCCGCCAGGTTTCGGCCCGGGACCTGCGGGCTAGAGAGCAGAGCCCCCACTGGGGCGCCACGGCACGACTACTACCGTGCAGCTGCGCCTTCGCTCTCTGTTGCGCCCGCTTTTTTATGTGCTTTCGGAATGCTGGAAGGACTCAATTGTCCGCCATGCTCACATGGGCAATCGCAATAACATGTGCCGTATGAATAGCATTAGCAATAGAGACAACATATGTGGAAGCAGCATTGGCCGTGACACAAACACTAGCAGCAGCATTAGCAATAGTAGTAATAGTAAACATCGTAATCGGATATGGTGGAAGGTGGAAGTACTAGCCGTCGTCGTCGTAGTAGTCGCAGGTAGCAATAATAGTTAAAATTGTGGTGGTGGTAGATGTAGTTGTAGTAGTAGTAACAGTTGGTGTTGTTGTAGTTGTAGTCGTAACTGTAGTAGTAGTAGTAGTAGTAGTAGTGGTAGTAGTAGTAGTAGTCATGGAAAGCATGATAACAACATTAATCATAATAGTACGTATAATAATAAGAATAAGAATAAGAATCGGAATCGTAACAATCGTTTTGGTAGCTACAGTAAGACGAGTAGAAGTACTAACAGTAGTAGCAGTCGTAGCAGCAGTAGTAGTAGCCGTCGTAGTAGTGGTAGTAGTAGTAGTAGTAGTAGCAGTAGTAGTAGTAGTAGTAGTCATAATGATTGCAATTGTAGGTGTAGTATTGGTAGATGTGGGAATACTAGTAGTAGTATCGGTGGTATTAGCAAAAATTAAAATGACGAGTAGTATGAGAAATACTAGTAGTAGTAGTAAGTGTTGTTGTTGTGCTTGTGGTCGAACTAGTAGTCGTAAAAGTAGTAGCAGTAGGCATCGTAGTAGCAGAAAGAGTGGTAGTAGCAACACTAATAATTACTCCGACGGAAGAACCCCACATAAGAATCCTCTGGGCGAATCTGGAAAAAGCCATCACCGTCGTCCTCGTGGTTGGTGAGGCGTCCTGGCTGTCTCTTCTGCGTATATTTCCTCTCGCCTTGGCGCGGGCCCCCCTTCCACTCCTTACGTTGTCCCCATCCTCGCCCCCCTGTTTGTTCCGCGCCCCGCCACCTCCTCCCCTTCCTGTTGCATGAGCGCGCATGTCGATGTTCCTCGGCGCCGTCGCCGCCACGGCCAGCACAGGCGCGTTCTCTACAGGTCACGTCGCGCAGCCGTTGGGACAACCCCGCGGGCCAGGCTGTCGGGACAACCCCGCGAGCCGTTGGCGCGCAAGACCAAGCCGTTGGGACAACCCCGCGGGCTTCGAGCGAGGCGCAGCCGCGCTCAGGCGGAAGGCAGCACGAAGCCCAGCTCTGCCGCGAGCTGCTTCGCCTCCGCCCTGGACAAAACCGTTCTCTTGTCGAACTCCAGGAGCGCCTTCCGCAGGGACGCCGGCGGCCCGCACTCCAGGAACTCTCGCGGCGGCGGCCGCAGGATCAGCATGTTCCGCATGCACGTGGCGCGGGAGAACATGACGTAGAGGTGCAGCCACCACTGCTCGTCCGACATGCCCGTGCGGCCAGCGTCCTCGTCTCTCGCGCAGTCGATGGTGACGCCCTTGCGCAGCGTCTGGCCCTGCGACAGCGTGGAGGTCAGGTAGGACGCGTGCGTCAGGGTGAACCCCGAGCGGCGCACGCTGTGCGCCCCCGAGCTCTGCCATGTGAACTCCCTTTCGCTGGGCCTGAACATCAGCAAGCTCCGCGCCCGCGCCTCGGCCTGGCCGTCGTCGTCGGCGCCTTCGGCGCCCTGTCGCAGCACCTCGGCGACCTGAGGAGCCCAAAAACTTCCTTGTTGCATCCAAAGTGTGGCCTGGGAACTGCGTTCTGGCAGCGCGAGAACCCAACATTGACGACAGTTACAGGTTTTGGATGACCTGCTCGGATTACCAACATGATCTGCGGGCCCCATAGGGAGGGGGCTCCCGCCTGAGACTTCCTCGCAGTTCACTCACAGACGAGGCTCCCGCCTGAGACTTCCTCCATATTCAGGCTTGAGGAGCCCAAAAGTGACGACAGTTACAGGGTTCCGATGACCCGCTCGGATTACCAACATGATCTGCGGGCCCCATAGGGAGGGGGCTCCCGCCTGAGACTTCTTCACAATTCACTCAAAGACGAGGCTCCCGCCAGAGACTTCCTCCAAATTCAGGCTTGACGAGCCCAAAAGTGACGACAGTTACAGGGTTCCGATGACCCGCTCGGATTACCAACATGATCTGCGGGCCCCATAGGGAGGGGGCTCCCGCCTGAGACTTCCTCGCAGTTCACTCACAGACGAGGCTCCCGCCTGAGACTTCCTCCATATTCAGGCTTGAGGAGCCCAAAAGTGACGACAGTTACAGGGTTCCGATGACCCGCTCGGATTACCAACATGATCTGCGGGCCCCATAGGGAGGGGGCTCCCGCCTGAGACTTCTTCACAATTCACTCAAAGACGAGGCTCCCGCCAGAGACTTCCTCCAAATTCAGGCTTGACGAGCCCAAAAGTGACGACAGTTACAGGGTTCCGATGACCCGCTCGGATTACCAACATGATCTGCGGGCCCCATAGGGAGGGGGCTCCCGCTTGAGCCTTCCTCAGAACTCACAGAGAGGCTCCCGCCTGAGACTTCCTCCATATTCAGGCTTGAGGAGCCCAAAAGTGACGACAGTTACAGGGTTCCGATGACCCGCTCGGATTACCAACATAATCTGCGGGCCCCATAGGGAGGGAGCTCCCGCCTGAGACTTCCTCCCAATTCACTCACAGACGAGGCTCCCGCCTGAGACTTCCTCCATTTTCAGGCCTGGGGAGCCCAAAAGTGACGACAGTTACAGGGTTCCGATGACCCGCTCGGATTACCAACATGATCTGCGGGCCCCATAGGGAGGGGGCTCCCGCCTGAGACTTCCTCACACTTTACTCAACGATGATGAGGATGAGGATGATGAGTGGTGGTGAAGATGAGTGGTGAAGAGGATGATGATTGATTGTGGGTGGTGGTGGCGATGATGATGTTTGAATGAGGATGATGCCGATACCGATGATGACGTGTGAGTGAGTGGTGATGATGATGAGTGAGTGAGTGAGTGTGCGAAGGCAGAAGAGGAGAGGGGGTGGGGTGAGTGTTCCTGCGCGGGGTGTGCAGAGAAAACAAGAACCCCACTTTGGATGTGGGGAATAATCCGAACAATGGTCTGCAAATAATGGTGTAGTAGCAATCATTATAGCAATGGCAATAATAGCAATGTTAGTAATAGTATTGATAGTAGTAGTCGTAGTAGTAATAGTAATAGTAATAGTAGTATTAGTAGTAGTAAGTATAATAATAGTCGCCGTCGTCGTAATCAACGTAATAGTAATAGTAGTGGCAGCAGTAGTAGTAGTAATAGGAACAGTAGTAGTAATAGTAAGAGTAGTAGTGGTGATAGTGGTAGTACTAGTGGTACTCGGAGTAGTAGTAGTAGTAGTAGTAGTCGTCGTAGTAGTAGTAGTATTAGAAGCAATAATAGCAGTAGTAGAATGGAAATAATGGTTCCAGCAATAGTAAGAGAAGTAGTAGCAACAGTAATAGCAACAGTACCAGTACGAGTACCACTACGAGTACTAGTACCAGTAGTAGTAGTAGTAGTAGTAATAATAGCCGTAGTAGTAGTAGTAGTAGTAGTAGTAGGAGTAGGAGTAGGAGTAGTGGTCGTAGTAGTAGTAGCAGTAGTAGTAGCTATAAGAATAGTAAAGAAAGTAGTAGTAGTAGTACTACTACTACTACTACTACTACTACTACTACTACTACTGGTAGTGGTAGTGGCAGTGGCAGTGGTAGTGGCAGTGGTAGTGGTAGTGGCAGTGGTAGTGGTAGTGGTAGTGGTAGTGGTAGTGGTAGTGGTAGTGGTAGTGGTAGTGGTAGTGGTAGTGGTAGTGGTAGTGGTAGTGTTATTAGTAGAGTTAGTAGTAGTAGTAGTAGTAGTAGTAGTAGTAGTAGTAGTAGTAGTACTAATAGTAGTAGTAGAAGTAGTAGTAGTAGTAGTAGTAGTAGTAGTAGTAGTAAGAGTAAGAGTACACGTGATAGTAGTCTTAGTAGTAGTAGTAGTTGTTGTTGTTGTTGGTGTTGGTGTTGTTGCAGTGGTACTCGTATTTCCTAAGGGGGAACGTAGGAGCGGACAACATCACGGACCTTCCAGCTTTCACAGCCTGCCGCACGGTAGGAACACAAGCTTCACACGTAGGGGCAAACATTCAGCGAACGGCACTCGTGCTATGCAAATGAGTTCGGGGATAAAAACCGCGGAGCGGGGCGGAAAGACGGACGGTTAAAAAATACGCATGGACCCTCAAAACGCATCGGCGCCGCGCGGGGAGCAATGGGTCATTGCACCGGCCTTGCAGACGTGCTGCAGCGGATTTCCTGCGTGGATTTCTGCGTGGACTTCTGCCCGAAACGGCGAGCGAAAAACGAAGTGAATTTCGCGTGGACTTGTTGTTGGTCTTCATTCCTGGCCAACAAAAATCCTCACTAGATTTACTGCGAAATCAGGACCGAAATTCTCCAGGACATTGGCCCATCCTATCGTTTTCCGAACGAAATCCGCTCTGCGATGTTGGCGCCATGAATGGGGGGCGAGGAGGAGGAAAACGCCCGACTGGGTCGGGGAGCAGCGGCACCTGCGGACTAGCTTACCGCATCTACGCCGAGGCGCGGTCACGCATGCGATTCACGCTAGCAGGGCCTTCGGCGGAATACCCAATTGCGCCACGACACGTGCGAGGGGTGTAACGAAATGAGCACGGTCACGTATGCGATTCCTGCCACTGGGGCAACGTTTAAGTGGCGTGCCGACATGGGAGCGGTCACGCTACGATTCCTACCACTGCGGCCTTCGGTGGAGCTCTCAATGAGGCCACGACACGTGTAAGGGGTGTGCCAAAGTGGGGTGGTGGCGGCATGCGGGCGCAACCA